TGTGTGTGTGTGTGTGTGTGTGTGTGTGTGTGTGTTTGTGTGTGTGTGTGTGTGTGTGTGTGTGTGTGTGTGTTTGACAACCATGTTAGCAAACTATCTTATAAACCACTGAAAGGATTTTATATAAACTCTCCGAAAGTAAACACTAGATGTACATTTAAAACTTTTTGCCTCAACCTCATTCAAGATGGCCGTCCACATGTTATTGACCTCTGCAAAAAAAAAAAAAAACACTTCAGTCAATTTTTTTTACAGATATTAAGCTAAAATTTGGGGGAGTTCAGTTAGAGGACCATGTGAACAGTCCAGTCTATGATGTATAATAATGTTAGATCTTTGTTAAAGCTTCAGCGCTGATGGAGTCAACTATGTCTGTCTGTTAGCAAAGTACCTCATGATCCATCCATCCATCCATCCATCCATCCATCCATCCATCCATCCATCCATCCATGTTATAATATTTACTTTAATAAAGTAATTACTGGGTATACATGCAGCTGCTTAACATTTTGAGTTAACCCAATTGAAGATAATTATTCTTAACAAACACAAAAATAGCTATAACTCAGTCAGTTTTACAGATATTGGGGTAAACTTTGGTGTAGTAGTGGGTATGAATCATTCTCAGCACATTCTCCAAACACTAACAGATCATTTGAGATCTTTGTTTAAAAACTTGACATGTAAGTAAGGAAGTGTTAGACGTTTGTTTACAGGATACTGGTTTCATTTCTTTCATTTCAAGTACAGAAAATCTAACCAGAACAGAAGTAATGATGTGTTTTCTGGATGAATTTCAGACTCTTCCCCTCGTCAGTCAGTCTCGGAGGTTGGTGCGTGAAGGTTCAGTCATTCAGCTGATGGATTTGCCCCAGAAAGAAACCGAGAGAAATATTTACTTGCACCTCTTCAATGACTACTTGCTAATCTCTGTACAAAAAGAGTGAGTAACCAAACAATGTTGTTCAGCGTTTCTATTATAATCCATCTGCGGCTAGCCAGCTCATCTCTCATTATCATTTGCTGCATCCTGTTTTGCTATTATCTGCTGTCTTTTGTCATCATCTCTTTAGTCTTATCACAGCTTTTCCTTCCTCTGTCCCAATTGTCATCTGTGCTTATGACGTCTGCTGTTTGCAGAGGGGGGAAATTCACGGTAATCGACCACTGTCCTGTGAAAGAGCTGCGTGCAGAGAACTTTCGTGTTAAAATTCTCTCCCTACAGAGGAACGTCTTCCGGTTGCACTGGACGAATGAGCCCCTGCTGCTAAGGACCGAATCACAGTAAGAGACTTAGACATCTGAAAACCAAACACATGAGAAACTCTAGGACAGGTTTGATTAACTTACACGTTTTTTTTTTTTCCCTTCAGATAATTCAAAGTAATTGGTACTAGGGCTGGGTGATAAAATAATTACAATATACTGTATATCGCAATAAACGTGATCACTATCAATAGAAAATATGTCAGATACAATGTTGATCATTTCACTGAGCGCACAGTATTCTGGGTAATGTAGGCAGAGGAAAGGCTTTAACTTGACCTCTCACAGCCCAGCTAAGCAAAGTTGATGGCATCAACTAACTTCACTCACCTGTTTCCTGGTCCTCTTTTCAAATAGTTACAACCAAACTAATCAATAATTATCAATATCCACTAAAATCTTGAGATTCTGGACAGAGGATTAACAAACAAAAAAGCAATTTGGCACCAAACATAAAAAAACAGTTTGATTGTTTTTTGTTGTGACAATACTTAGTGGCTTTAGTGGGTCTTTATTTTTAGTTTTGGGAATTTTTATTTTAGAACTTGTTAAAGTTCTTACAATGAATGTATGTTAATGGCTGAAATAAAAAAAAAACAGGTAATAAAATAATAACTGGTACTGCATGTACAAGACTATCTCTAATACTTGTCAGTCTATGAAACAATGACAGTTTTTTTTTTCTGTGTGATCCTTTGTAATGATGGCTTTGCACTTCAGATGATTGTTTAATAAATCATCTGGGCTTTGATGACAAAATGGTTGAATTACTTTGAAAAAAAGCTTGTTTCCAAATTAGTACATTTTGTTTTCATTTCGTGGAGGTGTTATAGCATGATTGTTGACGTTTTCCATCAAAAATGAGGGGTCTCATTTTTTTTAATATGCACAGAATCCTAAATAGGTGAGATTACAAAATAATCGCTCTTATCATTTAAAAGACAGCTCCCAGAGAAATGCTTATACATACCAAATAATCTACTAAGTCCATTTTTATTGAAAAAGAAATATAAGATGTGGAAGATATTATGATATTCCTGCTGGAAGTGCTACGGCTAGTTGTTGCTGTTACATTTTTTGCTCATAAATTATCCCAGAATTCTATATAAACAACCAACACTAACTGAGAAACATAAACTGATACAATATTTTTGAGATTAAAGTCTATTTCTTTACATTGAGTTCACTTAAAAAGCTATTTACAGCAGGTAAGATATAAATTATTTAGAAACTTTTCAGAGAGACCTACTTCAAAAGGTTTGAACTGTCACTTAAACAATAAATCTTGAAACACAAAACAGCCTTTCATATAGGGAATATATTATGTGTAGCTAGTATCACAAAGCTTCATTTATTTATTTTAGCAAAATGAGATAATTTACCAACTGTTGAAAATCAAATTTATATATTTGTCCCTATAAGGAAGTTTATCTTGATGCCTCAAACTGTTACATTTATGTAGACTAAAACCATCAATATAATATATTGTAAAATAATAATAGTGCAATGCTCCTAAAGTGGAAAATAAAACAATAAGAAGATGAAAGCAATTTCATCCTTCATCCTAGGCACTAAAATGTCAGTGTTACAAATCTAAATGTTACCTTTTGTAGTCAAATATTTACAGTAGGAATAAATAAAAGCTTGAGTGGTTTGGCCTTACACTTGCTGTCTTTGTATCATCATCAAATTCAGAAAACACTGTATGACTGATCAGGATAAAGGCAAAAAAACTCCTCATGTTTTTTTATTTAAACAGTTTCAGTAAAATGTAAACTGACACTTGCTGGACAGAACAATCATTTTAGTTTCAAATGTTTTCTTTAAAATAACATAAGAATCACACCACGAGTTTTTTTAGATTGCTGTTTAAAGTTGAAAACCATTTATCAAGTCAAAAAGTTCAATTTAATGTTGCTTTTTTAGACAATCACCAGGTAGTAAGTAAAAATGACGCTTTAGAAAGCTTTTTAAATATATGAGCCATAAAAACAGGCACAAATAAATTCTATGATCCTGAAGTTCCACCTGTCTGTTCATTAATATTTTGGAAAAGATGTTTGTTTCAATGGCATTTTGCTAAAATTAAATAATAAAACCCATTTTTAATATTTTCCCTGCAGGAGTGATAAGCTACGCTGGATTTCAGCCATCTCCAGGCCCCATTCTGAACTCGACTTTTCTGCTGCAGAAGGTATGGGTAATCTAACATGGTGTTTCACCAGTTGTGAATTATATGAGGGGGAAAAATTGGTTTTAGGTTTACTTTCAGAAACCAGCCACATGCTGAGGCGACGACACATACAGGTTGATAGTGAATGTTTGAACTTGAAAGCCAAATTGTAAGAATACACACCATGAAAAGAAGCTTCTGAGCCATTAAGAGACACCCTTCAGCTTGTTGATTGTTAAAGAGGGTGGCAAGTTTACTGACAAACAAGACATGAGCCTCCGAGAACCTAAAATTCTGGATTTACTTGGTCAAATACATGCAGGTAGTGAACTTAATGTGTTTACAGCCAAACAGCTAAAAGCATTTAAAGTTTTAGCTGATAAACTTTGTCAAAACTGTGGAGGAAAAATGCACCATTTTGATAAAAATAGATTGTTCGTCATTGCGTAAGCTCTGAAATAAGGATTCCTTCGACACCAACATCACCAGTGACAGAAAATAGCAACAACGTTCATTTCAACATTTAAGATATATTAATAACAGTTAAATATTCAGAAATATTTGTGTTCCAAAAGAAGATTTTCTCTTTGAATGGGATTGCTGCTGAACTGCACAAAATGCAGTTTGTGTCACTTATGAAACAGCATATTTAGGAACATGTTTCTGACTGAACTAACAGGCTGCTCCACTGTAGTTTTATAATTACAAATGCCCAACTGGTTTCAGGTAGACCAGCTATGTAGAACGTTAGTCAAGTGGAAATCATGTGTGTCATGCCGAAGCTCTGCATTCTTATTATTGTCTGATGACAAAAAATACAAATAAAAACATGAGCAGCTCTTAAAGAGATGTGAATAAAATAAAGTCCAGATCTGCAATAATGATAAAAGAAACTATCTATTTGCCTCTCAAATGTCACTTTTTTCCTCCTCTTTTCTGTCCAGATTTAGCACAGATGCAGTGTGTCCGGGCTTATGTGGCCCAGCAGCCAGATGAGTTGTCTTTAGAAAAAGCTGATGTTATTGTGGTGCACCAGGACACCAGCGACAGTAAGTCAACCACATAATTAAATCCAGGATTCCCATGCTGATCGCTCGCATTGTTTTATTACAAAAACTGCACAGATTTGCGCATTAGAGGAAATTAAGCTCTCAGTTCCTTCATATTTGATTTTCCCTCTTCTTTTTTAGATTGGGTAGAGGGAACCAAACTGTCAGACTTAAATCAGGGATGGGTGCCCAAGTCCCATTTGGAGGTCATCATCAACCCCAAAGCCAGAAAACAAAACCTGTCGGATGCCTACAAACTGACGACGGTTACAGCTGAAGTCTGAAGACTACAGGAGTAAACAGAGGGATGTCATGAATGTGTCACTCCATAATTTATCTCCTGTGTGCTTCTGGCTGCTGCACACTGAACAGTGGATATATTAATGCTATGTAAATAAAGTGTGCACATGTCCAGCAACTACAACTACAAACTTTGTACAAATTACAAAGATGTAGAATTAGGCCTTGTTGGTTTCACTCTGTGGAACGTTATATTCATGCAGGACAATGCATAGGTTGGTATGAGAGACATTCTCAGTAATTCCTCACACTGTTTAATGCAAGACATTTTCTGTACATCAGTGCTTTCAAAGTGCATTGAAACATTTGTTTAAAAAAAATCTAAGGGAGTTTTTTCTACTTGCAATACTATTTTTGAAAAAACCTTTTCGTGTGTGCAGAATGACTTGAATCTAAAGACTTTGATGCCAAAATGTTTGAGAAAATTGCTTGTTGGAGCCCTGCATGCATAACGGGTAACAGGTATATGCATTGTCTAAAAGACAATTTACTGATGTACAGAGCTTTGTGTAAGAAAACATTTAAAAAAATTCACGTTGATGGAGAAAAAAAAACATTGTTTGGTTTATGTACATGTATTCATATTAAAGATGCTTTATGTTCATGATTTATGTTCAGGAATAAACTACACAGTTTTAAAAAACATTGCTTGTGAAATGTAGACTTTTCTTGTTTCGTGGCATATTTTAATATTTCAAAACGAGCTGTGTACAGAACAAAATGAACAGTTCAGGTGGTTGAAAAAAAAAGGTAAATTTTATGCACGTATCACACAGTTTCCAAGCTCTGCCCCCGGATTATGTGCTGCCAAATAAGGCAAAACAAACATAAACAAGCGCACAATTCATCCAATCTGGTAGAGAACTCTGCTCGTGCTTTTTTCTGATAGGCACAATTTGTTGTCAGTTTTATTGCTTGCCTCTGATTGGCTGTTTTTTTCTGGTAGGCGGTGTCGTTTGCCTTTGTTGTTGTTTTCGTACGACATCCTTACTGCAGTCGACATCTTTGAAATCTAGCTCCGTCTTGTGCGTTTTGATCGTGTTTTTGAGCTCAAAAATAATCTCAAGAGGTTTTTTGAGGAACCGTATCACCTAGCGACTGAATCTGGACTTGATTTGTATGGTGTGAGGTTTGTTTTTTGTGTTTTAAAGGTAATAATAGAGACGTCTTAAAAATTCGTTAGCATGTTCATTGCTAGCTAGCCAATACATAACTGATTCCAGTCTTTCTTTTTAAAATAAACTTAAATATTAAAGCTTTTTTGTGTATAGAAAATGATGGTAATAAACGGAGAGCGTAGATTAGTTTGTTTCTGTAGTGAGGTTTTCGATTTTAGCGTAGTAAAATAAATAAAGTGTGACGTGGCCTGGGGTTGTGATGAACTTGGTTAGCTCAGAAACTCTGGTGTCATCCTGACCACAACACGTTGTTCCCCGATTATAAAAGAGACCTAATCTGTTGCCAGCTGGTCTCATCTGGCAGTTTTTAGGCTCCTGATGTGAAAAAAACTAAAAAATCTCTGTCTCAGCCCATTATTTAATGTTAAAACTTTAAACCTTGTTGTATTCTGTCTTTGCTCCTATAAGAATGACTGTGCTATCTTGTTGTAGGTTTTGTGGCAATTTTGTGAACTTATTATTGATTTTTTATTTGTTTATTTTATAATAAAATCCTAATTTAAATATCCGTTTTGAATAAACCTTGTATATAATTTGCAGTCAGCTGAATGTGTTTAAGCCATTACACTTATAATTCCAATGTCTATCAGAGTTTTTTTTTTTTTATTTAATCGAGGGTTCAAACACCAAAACATAAACTCCACAAGGACAAATGAGCATAAATTACCATGTTTTTCTGTGCTTGTTGAAATATAGGATTTGGATAGTAAATGTGCAATAAAATGCACTGCACTTTAATGCTACATAACTTTCAATGGAAGCTCAAATTTATATTTTATCAAGCAGTTAATCATCAAACCTATACAATTTTATTTTTACAACCTTACTGTCAGAGATTTACAATACATAAATGCAAATAAAAAAATGTCAGGATCAGTTTTCTTAAAGGTTTATAGTTTTTGTTATTAAGCTTGCACACAAATACTGTTTAAAATGTTTGTATTTATGTAAAATACTAACCCAAACATGGTCAATGCACCTAACTTGATTAAACCATTGTGAGACTCGCCCTTCAGGCTGACAGTCACTTGTTCACAGGGTGGTTTAAGTCAGACGGCGCTTGTTCTCCATTGTCTGCTCAGTAAAGGAATTCATTGTGAGACCCTTCATTTTTCCTCATGTTGCTTTCAGATGGCCAGTCCTTATCAGCGCTCTGTACCGCTGGAGGTGAGGAGAGCGGAGGGAGAACGAGTTCGGGCCAAGCATCCTGACAAAATCCCGGTCAGTGTGGCTGCAGGTTAACTTTTATTCACAATCATGTCAGATTAAGTAAGTCAACACATGAGCAAGAAATTCATCTGATGGAGTCTTTGTTGTACCTCTTCATTTAAATCTTTACATAAAGCTTACTTTATAATAAAAAATCACATTTATGATTCCTTTTAGATATATTTTTTTATTTAAAGGGATCCCCGATTAGTTGTAACATTAGACTTTATATGATAAACATGTACTTTAACTGTAAAATAAAGACTGTAAAAATACTGTAGGATGTTCAGTTTTTATAATTTCTAAACTAAAAGTTTAAAAATATATTTTAACACAGACGGAGCCATTTTATTTACATGCTAAGCATTCTGGGTAAATGATGACATCAACTAGGTCATTGGTGCGAGGCTGCTAGCGAGCTATATCCACCCTGAAGGTTAATCTCGGACAATATCTGATGATCGACTCTTTTAAATGAAACCAGAGAGCGTTGACAGAGAGAAGAAGGTAGAAATGACTCAGCCTGTAACTGAAAATATAGATGGAGGACAACAGAGCTGCTTCATGGAAGAAGAACCTCAGCTAAGCCTGTTAACTTTAGCGTTAGCCCCGATGCTATCACCATATATATATGTATTAGCTCAGCACTAAACATTCTCCTCTCGTCACTGAGGTCCTCCATCCACATGACAGAGAGGGGAACACAAAAATGAATCAGCCTGTAACAAAATATGGATGGAGGACCTCAGTTTAGCTTGTTTGTCGCGCTAGCGCCGAGCTAATACATATAAGGCAATATAGCATGGGCGCTAGCGCAAAGGCTAACAGGCTAAGCTGAGGTTCTTCTTCCATGAAGCAGCTCTGTTGTCCTCCATCYATATTTTCAGTTMCAGGCTGAGTCATTTCTACCTTCTCCTCTCTGTCAACGCTCTCWGGTTTCATTTAAAAGAGTCGATCATCAGATATTGTCCAAGATTAACCTTCAGGGTGGATATAGCTCGCTAGCAGTCTCGCACTGATGACCTAGTTGATGTCATCATTTACCCAGAATGCTTTGCGTGTAAATAAAATGGCTCTGTCTGTGTTAAAAAATATTTTAAAAAATTTTACAAAACTAAACAGCCTACATTATTTTTACAGTCTTTATTTTACAGTTAAAATAAATGTTTATCAAACAAAGTTTAATGTTACAACTAATCGTGGATCCCTTTAAGAGAGGTTGTTTTATGTGTTTTACTTAAAAAAATCAAAACATTGTGCGTCTTTGCAAATTCCAAAATGTTCTCTTTGTTTGTTCTCAGATCATCGTGGAGAGGGCCCCGAGGTCACGAGCTCCTGAACTGGACAAGAAGAAATACCTGGTGCCGTCAGATTTGACAGGTGACTTTCACATGAACATGAACATACAGGTGTTAAAAGGTGGAGAAAAAGTTTCACTGGGCATTTTTTAAACCTTTTCTTTCATTTCTTCTGACATGAAACAAAGGAATTGCGTGACCTAAACTGACCAGCTGACTATTTCCTTCCTTTTTTTCCCAGTCGGCCAGTTGTGTTTTCTGATCCGTCAGCGTATGTCTTTGAGACCGGAGGAGGCGCTCTTCTTCTTTGTTAACAACTCCCTCCCCCCATCCAGCTGTCCTCTCTCTACTGTATACGAGGTAAAAGTATCTACACATGAGCAGACTCCCTGTGGCTAACATTAGAGAATATTTTTCTACCTTTAATTTCTTTCATTTTGAAAATCCGGAATTCTTATTTTTGCTGAACTGAATGCTTAAACTTTCAGTCACTACTAAAGAGCTATTAATTTATAAGCTATTTAGGCTTCCTTTTCTATATTTATTGAAGATTTCTTATTGTTTCACACTAACCAAATTTCCCTCTGGGATCAATAAAGTGTTTTTGAATTTTTGAATTGAATTAACTATGAGTCTTTCTGTGCTCGTTGTGTCGCAGGAGCACCACGAGGATGACCTGTTTCTCTACATGACCTACAGCAACGAGAGCGTGTATGGTGCCTGAAGTGGAACAAAAGACTGAGAGAGAATGAGAGCACGCAGAGAGAGGATGGAATAGAGAGGTTGAAGTTTTTATTTTGTGCTTTGCACCACTTTAATTGTCAATATGAGTTTTGATGGAGAAAGGACAAACTTTGTACAGAGTGGAACTGGTCGGATTTTTTAATCTTGGACTGAGTTTTCAAAAAACTGAACTCTAAGCCACAGTGTGTGTGTGTGTGGTCTTTCTCTTTTTAGGGAGGGCTTTAAAAGAAATGAGTGCAAATAAAAGGAAGTACTGAAAACGCTCATGATCTTTCTCAGTCATCTGTATTTAATGCAAATAGAATTTTTGTTGGTTTGCTTTTTGTAAATTATCATAACTTTTGTGGAAATAAAGAAAATTCCAAAAATTGGTTTGCTCTGCATATTTATGTCTCTATTTAACAGCGTAGAAGAGAAATTTAGTCGAATTGCTAAATGGGGGGAAAATGAATATTTAAATCACTTCACATGCTGAAAAGTTTTGTTTGCACATGAACTGAGAAAATTTTGTTACTGTGAAAAAAAAACGAACCACAGATTATTGAGCTTAGCAGAGAGGCATTATTTATAGACACAAGTGCCAACATGAGAAGCTTTTCAAACATAATACATGTGATTTAGAGGAAGGACCGAAGTAAATAAGGGGAAGTGTTCAGTCTACTGAGTAGATGAGTCTCATTTTGACTGAACAGCAGGAACTTTTTTTTATTTTATTTTTTTTTACACCTCTCTGGACATCTTGACACAGCATTTGTGCTACTGGGTGGAGAGAAAGTTGCATAACCTCTGAGAGCTGACCAGAAACTTTTCAGAGTAAATTGAAAGTTGGGAGCCACAGGAGAGAGAGGAGCCATGGAGATGCAGGAGGTCGGAAAGAAGAAGAGTGATGAAGATGAGGGAGCTGGTGCAGCTTTGGTGGAGGTGAAAACTCAAAGTGAGCAAAAGTTTCATCAATAACATTTCTGTGTAATGCTCAGCAAATTTTACAAAACTATAATTACAAAACAAGTGGATTTTGTGTGTACATTTGAACAGAGAATATGTGGAGTATTTCAAAATAAAATTCTGATATTTTTTGTTTTTTATTTTATATTTTCATCTTTAGAGGAAGCAGAACCAAGTGATTACGACCAACTGCAAAGTCCATCTGAGGACATCTACTCTGAGACATTTTTTAACGAATCTCCAGTACAAACAAAAGAAGGTACACATTTATATAAAATGTTACATGATTTTTTTCATTTTGAGTCACAATGGAAAAGCTAACAAAAAAAAAAAAATCAGTTGTTAGCTTATTGTCTCTGATGAGAGAAAACACCTAAAACCCCACAGGTTTCAGCACGTCTCCGGATATCTGTCTCTGTTCAAACCCTCAAACCAAGAGGTTTTTTAGCTGATAATTTCATTTGAAGTAAAAATATAAATTCAGCTGGTGTGTGTAGCTGGTTTTTACTCACGATGTTTGCTTCAATCCTGAGGTTTTAACCACTCCAGGAATAAGTAGTTTTATGAGACAGCTTTTTTTTATATAAAGTGTCAGGATCTGTGCCTTTGGATTTGATTGATTTCCTTTTTTCTTTTTTTGATTTACTTCCTTTGTTTTTGTTTTTCTCCCACTACTTTTTCATACTTAGCTCCTGCTCTTCTGTTCTGCCACACCCCACATCTGTTCTCTTTTATTATTAGTTCCAGCTGCTGCTGCTTATTAAACCTACCTCCTCAGCCTTAATTCATCTTTAGTCAAATGTTGTGTGTTCTCACGCCATGTCAGCTTCTGACTTTGTGCTCATCTGGAATTATTATTATTATTATTATTATTATTATTATTTTTTTTTTTTAATATTTGACTTCCTCGTGTCGATCTGCAGTAAAATGTCCCCATAAACTCACAGATTGTTGCTTTATAGGTGTAAATATTTGTTACATCTCTAATAAAAAGAAAAAGTCTATATTTGATGTAGGAATAACTGAAAATAATCTTTGGGGGGAAAAATCTGTAAGAAAATAGTCTAAAATCTAAACAAACTCATTGGGTAATATAATATAAACAGTATATAAATTTAGGGGGAATGTAAGAAAGTTTGTGTTTGACTGATAATTTCTTTGGTGTAAGAATGTTTCTTGACAATAAATTGTATACCGTTGGTAAGCCTGTTAATTTCCATTTTAAAATCCCTTACGTGAGGAATATGGAATGTGGGATGAGCAGTAGAGCAGAGTATGTGGGTGCACACATGAAAAATTTGACAAATCTTCTCAGTCAAACAGCTTCTTTTGTTTTGAGCTTCTGGTACCTGCAGGTGCTGCCAATCAGGTGCCTGTAATAAAATTTATTGTCAAGAAGCATTTTTTGCAACAAATAAATAATCTACCAGAAATAATCTGTGCTAAATTTATGTATATTGCAAATATTCACATTTTAAATCACATAGAACTAAGAAAAACCTAAGCATTTGATAAAAAAGGGTTTTAAGACTCAATCTTTCATTTTTTATACTTCTCAAGGTAAAAAAAAATCTTGGTTTTAAACACAATATGTCTTTTCGTTCTTTCTTAAAAAAAACAAAACAAACAAAAATAAATACATCAATAGAAAAGCTTTTTATTTTTTTAAATTTCCACTAATTTTATAACGACTTTCAAAAATGAAAACGCTTCGTTGTTTTTGTAAATGCTGTGGTTAGAGCTTCCTGAGTCAGTCACTAAACTAAAAGTATGATTCATCTTTCGTATTTACTTAAAAGAAAAAAACAGTTACTCTACTGGAAGAAATGTTACTCAACACCAGACATTTTGCTGTTGTGTGTTTTTTTTTTAATTTATCTTGTTTATCAGCTGAGGACAAAGATAAGTGATTGTGTTCTTGCTGGTGTTTGTGTGTTTTTGGTCTGCAATGTTGACAATATAACATTTGGAGTTAGTCCAAGTCAAAATGGCCATCACAGCTAATCAATGTAACCCATCACAAAAACAACACCACTTAGTGAAATTTACAGATATTGAGTTAAAGTTTGATTGGATAGTAGCTGAGAGTAATTCACAACACATACTAACAGATCGTGTGGTGCCAAGTGTAAAATAGAATGTTAAAAAATGTCACTAACACATTTTCATTATTTAGCTCACTTTCAGAGCATTAAGCAAATTTCCCTAACATTTTAGTTATTTAGCTCACTACTGTTACATTTTGCTAATTTTTACGTAATGATAAATTTCAATGTTAAATGTTACGTCTAAAAGTTTAATTTTAATTCTAAAGCTAAAAGTTAAAAATAAAATTTCATTTAAGTATTTCAGAATGGAATGCAGCCTTTGTTGGAGTGCGTCACGGCTCTTGTTATGACATCATCATCCTGAGACAAAAGAAAATGCTAATGCTAAGATCAGCCAGCGGCCGTCATATGTCTGGTAGGGAAGTCAGTGTTTGGTTTTGTGTAGGATGATGATGATGTCATAACAAAAGCCACACACCAGCTGTAAAGGCTACATTTCATTCCTAAATTCTTGAATGTAAGTTTTGTCATTTAGCTGTAACATGTAAGATTTAATTTTTATATTTAGATTTAGGACTCAATATTTACAAATAACATTTTCATTTTAGATTTAGTAATAAAAAGCTAAATGTAAGGAAAGTGAACTAAATAATTAAATGTTTGTGGAAATTATTAACTAGGATTTTACACTCAGAAAGAGATTTAAATAATAAAAATGTGGTAGTGATCATTTAAAACATTTTATTTTACACTTAGTGCCCCATACAAGAGAGATATCTGAGTTTATGTTACTTTTACAGTTTGGATGTGATTTTTTTTAGCTTAAAATAATCTTGTGATGGTGGACATGCATTCCTATGAGATGCTAGACTTTTAGTTGGTATAATCGTGGGACTAGTTGCAACGACAACAACAACAAAAAAGATAAACCTAAACTGTCCTGTTTGAATTTTATGAAATCCTTTTTATAAAATACTCATTAGAGGAGAAGAAATCAAGTAACATATACAGTATTTATGATGAATGGTTTGGTGTAACTCTGTGGAAAGAAATTAATTTTTGTCTGAAAAGTTTTGAGCATGACCTTGGTTTTTTATTTTTATTTATTTATTTTTTGCTTGTTTACAAGTTTGAAAACAGCAACAATCATATCTTCATGTTCTTTGTTTGGAATCTTTTAACCCAAACACTGATGTGAAAGAACCTGAAGTGAAATCCTATCTGTTGTTTTGGAGTTAATGTCGCACACACACACACATGCACACAGATTCATTGGCCGTCTCCCAATATGAACACAGAGACAGATTAAAGTTTTAGAGGAATGCAAGGACAAACCATGCACTGTCCCACATGAACAGTTTGACGGCTGCCGTGCTGCCATGGTGACGAGACAAACGGGGTCTCTTTAAGCTGCACTGGAGCAGGCAGGGGTGAGTCTGCAGAGCAGGAAGACGGAGCAGGACACAGGGAACCAGCCTCCCCACTCAGAAACAGATCATGTACATTAAATTCTGTCGTTGGGGCTCTGAGGATAAAAAAGATGAGAACTCATCCTCCAAGCTGACTGTTGAGCTGGGCGAGGAGAAAGGTTAGGATGGAGTTTTCATGCTGGTCTGTGTTGTGCTCACTGATGATCTCTGCTTGTTGTTTTCCTCTTTCAGCCAAGGAGACTAAAGGAAACGAACGCCTGTTCCGCTACGGCTGTGTTTTTCTGACTGTGCTCTGCTTCATCTTTCTGCTGGTCATCGTCTTCCTCAGCATGAAACGTGAGTACCTGCAGACATCGAGGCAACAAACTGCAGCTCTGAGGCACAACCAGTGAAGCAGAGAAACACCAAAATGGCTCAGGATCATGCTGCGTTTCTTTCTGGTTTTGCAAACTGCACCCAGCTGCAGCCTGGAGGTGTTATTATTTCACCTCCTTCTGTCTTTTTTTGTCTAGTTGGATCTGGATCCCCTCCCTGCACCGTCCAGCAGTGTCCACACTTTAACCCCAAGCGTAAGTGTAAAGCTGGAAACTTGCAGTACAAAATAAAATAAAATAAAAAAAAATCAACAGAACTTGGATAAGCAAAGTAAAAACATCTGATATGTTCTGCTCTCTTAGCTGACAGAAGTAAAAAAGAAGAAAAATACATTTAAGGAAGTTATTTTATCATTTATTGAAGGGGGATTTTTAAAATGTAATTTACCATAAGTCTTTTCATTTTACTGGAGAACAAAAGATAAATGTTTGGTTGAGTCAAGTTGAACACAGAAGAAGAAGAAAAATATTTTTATCTCGTCATAGTTTCCTGGTATTTTTCTTTTTAGTCTTTTCTTGTGGAGTCTTGACTGAACTTGAGTCCACTTTTGCTTCCAGAGCATGAGCAGCTGTGCGCCAAGGGCTGGATTTACTTCAACAAGTCGTGTTTCTTCCTGTCCACCCTCAGACTGCCATGGGCTGAGAGTCAGAAAAACTGTAGCTCCGGTGGTGGATCTCTGGCTGTCATCACCACTCAGAGCCTCCAGGTGGGTCTGAGGAGCACCTGAACTCTGCTGTTTGCTCCCTTCTTTTCTCTGAGACTGATCTGGGTTCTCTCTTTAGAGTTTTCTGACATCCAAAGGGAACCTGAAATACTGGATTGGTCTGAGACACGTTGACAATTCCTGGAACTGGGTTGACCACAGTCAACTGGAGCAGAGGTGAATTTTGGGAATAAAATTCAATTAAAACGAATGCTTATTGCTCGCCAACTTTCATGTCAAATTTTTATTTACCTCATGCTTAGAAGTGCTGGAGCCAAATTTAATTCAACATTTATAACTTGAGTTATAACCATTTTTGCATTGGTTAAGGTTGATTAGCTATGGCAGTCATCTTGAAGCGGGTTGACTCCAAGGGCTAATGGGTTTGATGTACAACCCCAATTCCAATGAAGTTGGGACGTTGTGTGAAACTAACAAAACAAAACAAAAGAAGGTGATGTGAAAATCTTTTTCAACCTATATTCAATTGAACACTACAAAGATATTTAACGTTCAAAAACTTTATTGATGGCTTTTTGTAAACGTTCTCTCAATTTTTGTTTAATTCTTAATATTTATGTTTTACACAATATCCCAACTTCATTGGAGTTGGGGTTAGGTTTGTACCACAACAAAGCTTAGCTCAGTGTCTGTGAAACTGAGTTCTAGCAGTTTTTATTTTTATTGTTTTGTAGGCAAAGACTGATTTAGCTGTGGTGGTCATCTTGAAATAGATTGACTCAAAAAGTTAATCAGCTGTATATTTACATCCAACAATCCTTTCCTGGGAGTTTTATTCAAATCTGCCAATTGGTTCATTTGATAGAGCACAACATTTCTTGGAGAAGATTAAAAAAATGGATACACTTGTACTTTTTACAAGCCCTCCCTTAGTTTTATGACCTGGATGATAATCATCTGAGTGGATTCGAAGGTTTCCGATCAGTCAGCAAACTTTGTTTATGCAAATACAACAAAACTACTGAGTTTGGTATTTGGAAGTTTTACTTATTTTTTTCTTTCATGCCTCCAGTATTTTATGTATCTCTTATAAAATAACTGAAAGTAGCTTTTAGACTTTCTTACCGAAGAAAATAAAAACAGGAACAGATCTGGTTTCTTGGAATTTAAAAGAGCAACATCTTCTTTCAGCTACTTGATTTTTTTTTGTCTTTTCTTCCATTTGTTCAACTTCTATTGACCCAAAAAGAAAAAACTGATTTTTTTTTTAGTATCTGCATCTGACTTTGGTTCCTCTTTCAAAACAGTTACAAGAGTTTTTTTTTTTTCTGTTTCTGCCTAACTAAAAATAAAAACGATGTGCAACAACAAAACAACACTTTCTGTCTGATCACAGTTTCTGGGGTAAAGCTCCTCGAGACGGAGACTGCGCCTTCCTGAGCAGCGAAGATCCAGCTGAGACGAACTGGGACCGAGCTTCCTGTAAGGCTTCCACTTATTTCATCTGTCAGCAGCAGATCTGAGGGCTTCTGGGTGGTCCTGATCGAGCATTTCATCGAGCATCAGCAAATATGAAGTGCAAAGTTTGAATAAAATTTTAATAAATATCCCTAACACATTTTTATTATTTAGCTCACTAATTTTGAGTGTAAAATCTTAGCAAAAAATTTCTAACAATGTTTTTTTAATATATATTTTGTAATTTAGCACACAGTTGTTACATTTTGCAAATTTCTGCTAAATGTAAAATGGTATATCTAAATATTAGACTAAATCTACATGTTGTAAATGTTGAACTTTACATTTCAGTCTTTCGGAATGAAACAGCCTTTGTCATTGGTGTGTAACTCATGTTTTGATGTCATCATCCTGAAGTTGTAGCAACTGCTAATTCTGTTAACCCTGCTAATGTAGCTAATGCTCTGAAGATGGCATTTAAAATTTAAATTCAAAATGTTTTCATTCAAAACAATATGAATGGTACCTGTGATTTGGCAATTTGAAGTCTTGTAGGGAAACGTTAGCAGCGTTAACAGCGTTAGCAGTGTTAACCACATTAGCAGTGTTAACAGCGTTAACAGTGTTAACAGTGTTAGCAGTTTTAACCACGTTAGCAGCGTTAACAGCGTTAGTAGCGTAAACAGTGTTAACAGCGTTAGCAGCATTAGCGGTTGCTTTTGTCTCAGGAAGATGACTTCATAACAAAAGCGCACCAAAGGCAAAAGCTTTGTTTCATTCCAAAAGACTTATTTCACAATTTCATAATTTTTTCACAATTTCACAATCTTTAACTAGGATTTTACACTCAGAAAGTGACCTAAATAATGAAAATGTGTTAGTGACATTTTTTAAACATTTCATTTCACACTTGGTGCCTCATAAGCAACTAAATAACAGCAAATCATTTCATTTTTCATATCGCACTCCAGTCAGTATCCAGAAAATTAACAAAGCTTGTTTGCTTAAAAAAACTATTTTTTTTTAAGTGTGATGTACTTTCTAACTTCAGTGTGTGGTGCATTTTGTATTCTAGTAGTGTTGCTGTTTATAAGATCAATCACTTGACCTGAATGATTTTTCTTCCTGCTGAAACACAAATAAAAGCCAGTAATTTTCTTTTAAGAAGGTTTATTTTTTTCAAAAAAGTACTCTTAGTTATATCACAACTTCAGTTTCTCTACTACAACTTCTGATATACTACTATAAAAATAACACACTCTTTTCCTATATAGCTCAATACTGCAGGAATAATTGCACAGTTCAAAGGAAGGGAAAGGATATACAGCTCATATAACTTATCAGGCAGAGTCTTATACTATATAATTCTGATGTCGTGATCCTCCTTTGACTCCTCCATCTCCAGACCGAAAGCACTGTTACGGATCACCTCCCAGCTCGCCTTTGCCTTCCTGTTGATGCTTTCTTTGGATTTAGTCCGAAGCACGGGGGATCCCTTTGATGTGTCAACCTTCTCCTGGTCCTCTTTTTCATTTTGGTCCTTCCTGGAGAAAGCTTTAATGTAGCGACGCATCTTTTGCAATATAGTGTCTTTTCTGTCCTCAACCCTTCAGGAAAAAAGGAGCAGCTGAAGTAAATGTTGTGTCTAAACAGATTTCAAACGTGGTCAATGTAGATGGTAAATGTCTGAACTTATATAGTGCTTTCTCAAGTCCCAACAAACTTCAAAGGTCATTACATTACAGACATTCACTCATTCACACAGTGATGATGGTAAGCTACACTGTAGCCACAGCTGCCCTGGGGCAGACTGAAGGAGGGAAGGCTGCCATGCACCAGCCTTTGGGCCCTCTGACCACCACCAGCAGGCAAGGTAGATGAACTGTCTTACCCAAGGACACAACGACTGAGACGGATGGAATATTCAGACCTTAAAATGACACAGCTTCAGGAAAGTTCCTACTGTATCTACACTAAAAAAACTTTTGCCAATTCATCAGAACCTAAATAACATTTAATATATTCAGCATTTAGTCAGATCTGAGAAATCTTATTTTCGTCGTTTCAGTGTTGCTCTTTACTGGAGCACTTTGTAATTTGGAAATAAAAAAGGAATATAGCCTCATGAGGATATTCACTTTCTGCTCTGTGTTTCATTCAGATTGGTTTGGAACCTTTTTTCAACATAAAATAATTGGTAATTTTAACTTATTGTTAAAAATATTGTTTGATTTTATGTTGATGAGGTTCTACTCATCAGTAATAGGAAAGTGAAATTAAAATGCACATCAAACATATAATATAAATATATATAAATCTGTCTGGCTGTGGGCTACAGTTTTATGGGGTTGATCATTGCCCCTTTTTGGCCCCCTCATAGTGCCACCCCTGGTGATAATAAACTTGTTTAGCCAAGAAAATGTTGCAACTGTTGATTGCAATTCTTGATTCGTTATAACACAAAAAGGTGGTCCAGCACATACAGAAATATTTGTTTTTAATTCGTAATGAAATAATTAATTATCTTTTATTTTCTTGCAGAATTATTTAATGTCAAATTTGAGAGGTAGGTCAGAGGTCATCTTTATGTTGAGCTGAACACAATTTTGAATTCTCAGTTGTTGGTTTTTCAGTGTTCAGCCACTCATTGAGTTATTTCCACTCAAGAACTGAGTTGAACCACTCCTTTCTTGACAGTTTTTTCTTACCTGAGATACCAACGCTCCTTCAAGCCGAAGCTAACCCCACACACTCCGAGCCGAGGCCACAAACTGCGAGGAAACCTCCTCTCCATCATTAAAGTTGTAGCCACAACCTGCACAGTCACATCACAGCTGTAACCATGACACAGCAATTTAACTCAAGTCAAAACAATAATTATACACACGTGTGTGTGTTACCTGAGTCCTCCACAGCTCATCTCTCTCCTGGGCAACTCTCGCTTGTGTGTCACTCATCATGGCAATCAGCATATTGACAATGAGCATAGAGTTGACCAGGGAAAAGGTCACATGCAGGATGTAGATGATGGGGATGGTTTTGACGGTGGCGTCCACCGGCATGTCGATCAGACCCATGGTGAGCTCAAACTGAGAGAAGAGAGTGATGGGGAAGGAGCTGTACTGAGAAAGGCCCCCTGGACCCTGGGTCATGTATGCCATCCAAAGAGCTTGGAAGGAAAAAACACACAAAAAGTGAAGTTTGCAATAAACTAAAATTTTACCTAGCTGCACTGTCAAACAAAATCTACTCACCGGTAGATGATCCAAAGAGCACAATGAGACAAAGCCACATGAATTTTGCTACGTCTCCAAATAACATCTAGGAGGAAATTAGACAAGAACCACAAACAAGTGAGCATCAAAAACAACAACAACAACTCAAAACATTAACCTACGGCTCTGATAAGAAAGCGAATTCCAAAACTCGCAGGAAACTCTTACTGACCTTCTGTAACGTGATGATGTAAGGTCCGAGCATTTCAAAGCCACGAGCGAAGAAAAGGATGTTGCACCAGCCAATGACCAGAGCCAGCGCCATGACCTCGGTCTCACCGTTCACCCCGCAGACTCTGAACACACACAGTAACACCACCAAGAGGGCATGGAGGATGCTGGAACAAACAACACAAACAAACAGCAGTAGGGTTAGACAATGTGGCAAAATGTGGTGCTGTTAAATCAGAATTATTTTAACTCACAAGAGGATATGGAAGGGGCCTCCGAGCGCCGATTGACCAAAGTAGCGCTTTGCTCCCACCATCAGTATATCAGGGATCTGTTGGAAATACGTAGGGAAGATATTTTAGTACCATAATATAAAGTACTCAAAGATAGCACATGAGTCATGCACCGACCTCCACCACCAGGATGACGATCGCTCCCAGGACACTTATGATCTCTCCCACCAGCCGCAGACTGTCCCCATGAGTCACATAACTCTCCTGAATAGGGAAAATGAAATTAATGTGAGCCCGATTATTCAGATTATTGGGAGTTTAGTGTGAGGTTTTGGTGGGTGGAGCAAGACACTTGTTACTGTAAATAGCCTGATTGGATTAGGATAAACAGAGCTTCAACAAGATTTAAGTTAAGAATAAAATAAATTCTGAGGCTGTCAACAGTCATCTTGACAGGCTGAAATTACTCTGCTGCCTTTATAAATACTTTATTTTTCTAACCTGGTTCCAAACAGTTTTGGGTTGTTTGCTCATTTTCTTCACTTAATAATTCAACCAATAAAGGAAAAAAAAGAAAGAAAAAAGATTCCTTTCTAAAGAAACCTTTTTCTGTTTTACTCAATGACCCATGAGTAAATATGACCGTCATGAAAAAAACAACTGTTGTTCTATCCTAATCCCAAAATTTAGCACAAGAAGTAAATGAAGTAGATATAATTTTAAATGAAAATGAAAATTTTGTGAAAATGAAATATTTTGGCTGCAATCAGCGAAGACAAAAAGTGGATGGGGGTTGGGAGTTGGCGGAGGGGATTAGTGACGTTTTGGGGTTGAGTTACAAAAATACATCACTAACAACCCTAAACACACACAACGTCTTTAAAAGGCTTCATCTATTTAAAAACTGAAACCAGTTTCCTTTCACTGTGTTTTATTTCTGACTGTTCTCAAAAGTCTCTACATTGATCCAAAACATGTGAAGTTTTGGGAACTTCACTGAATGTATTTTATGTTCCGGAAATGTTTGTGGAAATCCCCCAAACAAGATCTAACAGATCTAACAGATCTAACAGATTGGGGAGGAGACCTGCTGAGATGTTTGACAGCAGAGGTGTTACCTCACACTTTACAGAACGCTGACAGTCAGTGACTCATGCCTTTTTGTCTTACTTTATAAGTAAGGGTTTCTTTTTTGGGCTGATTGCCCAACCTGTTTGTGATTGGCTTAGGTGGTTTTTACTTCTTTATATAGATTTGTAGTTTGTCTGATCTGTAACAAGTTGACGACGGCATGTAGCCAAAAGGTGTCTTGTTTTCTGCTCTTATTAAAACCATGGTATTTTTTGGAGTGCTGGTTAAGGCACCCATTTACTCTTCTCCCTTTTTTATAAGGAAATTTGAGTTGTGCGCACTAAAATTTTTTCTTACTTTATAAGAACACAAATCTTTGACCTGTTAAAAACATCTGTTTATGGGATCAAAAGATCAAGACCTATAAAAAAACTCCTTAAAGTTTCCTTCTTACTGCGTCATGATCTTCATCTATTTAAAGTTGTGCATGAGCAGAGTTTCTGTTGCCATGCAATTTTTAGAAAACCATCCATGGTTACACTTTATAAGAACTACATCTTATTTAGCTTTACTTCATCATTAATAAATGATTAGTAACATAAGTTAAAAATGTCGATCATTAAGGATCATTCGTGATTAATAAGCTATAAGTCAAAACATTTATTATTACTTTACACATAAAGGATAATTACTTCCAAAACCAACACAATCATTGTTTATTCATGCTTAATAACTCATGAATTAACTATTCTATGCTGTGTATGTACGTTAATGCTCACAGAAATGTACTTTCACAGCTCGTGTCAGACATGTAGAGAATATTTGATTTGACAATCCACTAATCCTGCAGTGTATAATTAATTAAGGCAGTTGCTAGAAGTCTTTTTGTGAACCCTTCTAAGGTGAAGATTATTTATGATTTCTTAAGTTATTTGTTAATACAGAAAAACCCAGAAGGGCCACAAGTTCCTTTACGCCTGTGGAAATCACACTGAAATCATAGTGAGTTCACACATTCTCTAACCATTAACACATGCTGTGTGAAAGCATTAATATGAGCATTTACATACATATATGGCACACAGTATACAGAATAGTTAACTCATGAGTTATTAAGCATGAATAAAGAATGAGTACACTGGTTTGGAAGTATTTAGCCTTTATAGGTGAAGAATTAATAAATGTGTTAATTTACAGCTTATTAAAAATTTCCATTAATTAATGATGTTTTTTCAAGGTTAATTAACCATTTATTAATGATTAAGTATGGCTAAATAATGTGTAGTTATTATCAGGTTTTAGTTTATTCATGAATGAAGTCCTGAGATTATAAATGCACCCCAAATAAACATATTCCACAAATATTCCACAAGAAAAAATGTTGCGAAACATTTCTTTTGCCTGAAATTTAGTACCTTACATCTCATCTTATTTGAAAGTTAAAAAGAAATATGTTTAAAAGAGCTTACAGTAAATTAGAGGGTATCAATAAATCACACATTATTGACACAAATTCATGACTGAAACCCACTTTGAATGTCTTCGGGACCTTGATGGTTTTATCGGGGTCTGTGTCCGAGAGGTTCCTGTTGGCGTCCTTTAGGGGGCGAAACATACAACACAGAGTGAAGTTCAGGATGTGGAGGAGGTACAGCACCAGCAGCATCCTTAAACGAGAGGGGGAAAAAATAAAAGGCACTCTGCATATTTACAGGAGAGAAATTTACCCTAAATAATAAAACTGAAAAGAAAAAACAAATTACCTGAAGTAATGTTTTCCGTACAGGTTCCACTTCATGCTGACCAGCTGCCTCACAGGGGTCAACTCCAGAATCCCTCTCGCCTTCAAAACACGAAAATATATTGTCAAATCCCAGTCAGTCTAATCTTTATGTGTAATGGTACAGATAGTTGTTGCTGTTAGGCTGTACCTCTCTCTTTGAGCTGCTCACAATAAGCTGCAGCACTGACATGCTGTCATCCCAGGAGTCGATCTCAGTCAGGTCATACAGGTGAGAGGTCAAAGGCCCCAGACTCCACTGGACTACATGCCTCTTATTAACCATGTGCTGGAAAACCTGAGGAGGGGGGACAGAGGATTTTACCGCAAGGCTTCAACAGAATCCGTGGGAATAATCTGACCTGGCCTCGTGGCTGCTCTCTGAACTCACCACGATGTTTCCCTCTTTAGCAGCCAGTTTGAACGGTGTGAGGCCTCGGTAGTTGGGCACCATGTCGAGGGGCAACGCCTGGTCCAGCTCCATGTCGCGTGTCATGATCAGGTCCATGGCATGGCACACAGAGTTCTTGTTGGGCTGCAGAACCAAGATGTGAAGCAAGGTGTTGCCTAGGAGACAATAAATAAATAAATAAATAAAATAAAAAACAACAACAGGACAATTACTTGAAAACAACTGACAAAACCAGAAAAAAAAAAAATCAAGGACTTGTTTTGTTTCGAGGGTCCCTGAGATGTGAAACAAAGCTCTTGACTAAATATTTTACAGAATTGTTTTCTTTTATATTGTTTTTTTTAATTATGCATTATCTTTTACAAAACATTGCTTTATTTTGTTTGGAAAACCAAAAATGATAAAACATCTAAACTATAACAGACTGCTGCTTTTTTCCTAACAGATTATGCCACAAATAGGGTTTCAAACCTCGGTAGTCTTGGACCCTGGTGCTGGCTCCGGCATCAATTAACATGTTGATAATGTCCTCGTTCCCAGTACAAGCAGCAAAAGACAGAATGTGCTCACCTGTCAAACAAAAATGGAAAATAAATTCTGTTTATTGCTTTACAAAATTTGCACACTGTTACATTTTATCCAGCCAATAATTTTTAATCTGCAACAACTTCACTCCGTACAAGATCTGAATTGGTAATAATTACAAGTATCTCAGTTTGTTGAGAGGTCTTGCTGACTCACCAAAGTACAGAAGGCCTCCTATCCTCTTCCTGAAATACAGACCGGTGACTCGAGGCGTGGTGACATCACCTCCACGACTAATCAGCTGATGAACCAGGTTGGTGTTTTGATTCATCACGGCAATGTGGAGAGCAGTGAAACCTGAGACAGGCAGAGTGAGGACAACTTCTCAAATTAGTCCAAAACACCTACAATTATGACAGATTTGTCATAAAGATTTAATTTAATAAAGAAAATTTACTGCCTCCTGTCTTAATTTGAGGAGTGGAAACTGCTTTATTTAACCAGGTAGATCTAAATCAGATTAATAACATTTTTTTTAAGAGAAACCTGGTCAAGAATGGCAGAAACACACAAACATTACCAAATCCTAAAACCACAAACATCAAAGTACAATTAAATAAATCATGATAAATAAAAGCAAAATAACAAGAAAAACCCAGACCTATTAAAAGTAGGACTAAAGTACAAGGTCACTGAAAACATTTACAAACAAATGCTTCATGTTGGCTTCAAACAGTTTGAGATTGATCCTTAAAACATTAAGAGACAAACTCCTTCAACTTCAACGTCTTTCTGCAGTTGAGCGAGCAGCAAAGTGGACGGATCAAACCGTAGCTACAGTTAATAAACTGAAGTCTTCTGACAGTGGAGAATGACCTCCTGAGGTCCTAAGGAAGTGACGCTTGGTAATGATTGGAGCAAATATGCCACAAAAAATCTTTAAGTTCAGAACCATGTAGGCAGCTGGTATTACAAATTTGAATCTAAGTACTGAGAAAGAACAAAGGTAGTACTATAACTGGCTCTGACAGGTGATGGGTTTGTTACCAGAACCAGTTCTGTCCCAGTATGAACCACACTGGCTCATTGTCTTTGTTGAATGTGAAATTCAGCGGTGAACTGAATCTCACAGCCAGTTTTCATCTTGTTATAAAAACCAGCTGGCTTTATGCGTTTCTGCACCTTGGAAAAGCTCAGAGGTCATGGGCTCATTGATGAGTTCCGGCGCTCCTTCCATCAGAGCCACGGCGGCGTCCAGGTTGTCGTTCATCACAGCAACATGAAGAGCGGTTTCTCCGAGGGCTCCTGGAGGAAAGCAATGAGAAAACAAAACCAAGATTTTGGGGTTTAGTTTTACCCAGAGGTGCCACCAAGGGGAGGGCAGGAGGGGCACAACAGCCACTGATAAATTAATGGTGGCCCCGCCCAACTGGCCCACCTTGGCACAAGAGTTTTATCCTCTTGAGTCTCAATCCTTTGCTTGATGTTCAATTTTAATTCTCCCCTCACAAGTTAAATTTAGTAGAACCTCAAAATCATAAGAACAAACGTTGTTTTTGAGCAATTAGGAGTTAAAATATGAACTGATGTCAGGGGCGCACCAATAAAACGGCTGACCAATTTTTCTGCACCGATTTCCTTAATTTTGGGAGATCGGTAGAAAAGGTTCTCATCTACCTGCACAAAGTAATGTCCAGTTAAAACAAGTATTGTTTCAAGGGTATTATCTAATGTTTTTCATTAAAATGAGATCGGAACAGTTTAAATAACTGACACTATAGGGTCACAACATACCTTTATTGTGACCTTATAATGCCTGACAATGTCAGTTATTTAAAAAAATCTGTATTGGCCAAAATTGAATCGGCAGGTCAGACTTTTTAAAGATCGATGATCAGCCAGAAAACTGCGATTGGTGCACCCCCAATTTATATTTTATTTTAAAAAAATTAAATATAGTTCCTCTGAACAAACAGTCTAAAACCAGTCTCTTCAACTTCAAGATGCAGGATCTCAGGAGGTTATAAGCAAAATATGTTTTAATATTTGAAGAGAAGACAAGTTGCAATATGTTGATTAGCAATAGTTTCTCCATAAGAAATTACCTTTAAATAAAAATAAAAAGTAACTTAGACTTATGTTTCTCAAAATGTGATTCTCTAACTTTTGCATTGTTGCATTCCTCAAAAAAAAAAAAAAAAAAAAACATAAATCTGAAATTTTGTCATGGCTTTCAGATGTTCCATTGGTTCTACCTCTTTCAAAGATGTTGGTGGATGAACAGCCAAGAAGTTTCCTGATGCAACCAGGACTGTCGTTTTTAGCCGCGTAGAAGAGAGGAATGTCACTTACACTGTTGGACAAAAAGACAGAGGCTTGGTTTAAAACTTCAAGTCGGGTCTTCCATTGGAAAGCAGTTAGCGGCCGTTTAATTACTTTTTTGTGTAGAGAAGGAACGTCTCATCCAACATCTCGTTCCATCCTTTCTTGTTCTGGAGGCGAAACCTCAGCTGGCTCCACCAATGGTTGAGCTCTCTCGGAGCAGATCGGGCTAGAGACGGGGACATTGACTCTTGGTGTTCAACTAGAAAAATGACATTAAAGGGTTATGGTTGTTTTTTTCACACAGAAAAAAATGTGTAAGAAAAGCATCGACCGATGCTGAAAGATTTTTGAATATGATTTGTCTGTCTTACCCTCAAACAATAAAAGTTCTGCTCCTCTTCTTCTCTAAATTCTCGGTCATAACCCTTAAAGTTGGACACAGCGGCTTGACGATGTTCAGCCAAGGCGCCCTCCTTATATATCACCTGACTGTGCAGGAGGTGGGTGGAGACGTGTGATGGGATTTTGAATGAACGGGTGGGGCAGGGAGGAGGAGTGGACAGGTGAGACAGTGACAGTGAGGCTGTAATGAGCAGGTGGATTTTACCTGCTGCTCAGAAATCCCACAGAGAAAGTTCGGCTTCAAGCTTACAGACCCAGAACCTCTTCATCATGCTGATTTGAAATTTATTGGTTTAGTCAGTCCGTCTCCCAGCCATCAACAGGCCTGCCCACGTTCCTCGAAGTGCCACCAAAACCTGCATGGCCACTATGATAATTCAGCAACCACACGTTGTTGTTTCAAGTGACCTGTGAAGAAAACCTGTTTGTAAAATGCTCGAATCTCAGGATTTTAATCTGCGGTTTCATAACTGATGTGTTTTTCCTTGTTCTAAACCAGGAAACAATGTCTTCAAAGCTGGGATTAAAACGATGGAGATGATGTATGGTTTCTCCTCATGTTTTTCTCTAGTTTCATTCACAGTGATTTCATGTGTTGGACACCATTCACATGTCAACAGGAGCAATCACAAATACGGTAATTGCCATAGTACAAAGACCATAATGATCATTTGGAGGTTGGCGATGTCATGCCCAGTGAGGCCATGCCACTTTCTTCTGAAGGCAGAAAACAAAGCTAATGGTTCATTATGTTAGTTGAAGTTAATATTTCCCCACCACAAATTTCATCTTGATTAAGTTGACTTATTCTGTTCACCTTGGTGGCGGCTTCCAGATATTTCTTCCCGTATCGTTTATAGATGGTGACTCAGAGGAGGAGGTTAGCCGCAGGACAAACAGGGTTTAGGGAGACACTACGGGAAGCCCTGAAGATGTGGTCGTCATTTGGTATTGTGGAGATAATAGCTGTTTACCAGATGGGCAGCAGCATTTTTTAAGCAGTGACATAAAGACAGATGGTTTCCACACTGTTGGAGTCTTTATAAGGAAACAATAACACCATAAAAACATGATTTTGTGGGTTTTTGTGCAAGTGTTTCTGAACACACGGAACAGTGTCATGTTAATTTGGGCTGAGACGCCACAGAAAACAATTATTATACAAAGATCTGCTGCACACCTGTGACAGGTCACTGAGCTCCATCAGGCTAAATGATCATTATGCAAGAAGCCCAACAAAGAACTATGATTTATTTGTTTTTATTAACACATTTCAACTTGATTTTAATTTTTAAACTTTATGAATTATAATGTCCATCTTTGGGATTTTTAAAAACTTGTTTGAACTGACATAAACATTAGATTTGTATTTCTGACAATAACTGTGAGTGACGACAAGTTTTGTTTCACTTCTTTGTAATGCAGCATTACATATTTACATTGGTGTGAATTTTACATTTTTGAACAACCTCATTTTGGAGAAATAGAGTTTGCAAATCTCTATAACATCTTATGAACTATATTTGTGGACTTTTTGAGACAAATATAGTTTTAAAATGGCATAAATTCACTTCAATCTTAACCCTGCTACACTATGGTTAATTGTTAGCTCATTGATCTTTTTCAGAGTTAATCTTGACAGCAGGTAAGATAAGATATCTGCTGTTTGTAGCTTTTTTTTAATACAAAAAATCTGAACTTTCACTTTAATGGTTGATTTACTTTAACATTTTATTTTCACTAAATTCTTTTGACTCAACTTTTTCATTAAGATTTGATGCTGTTTTACCAAATGTGTCAATTTCTAAAACAACTTTTCTTAGGTAAAAAAAGTTTTAAAAAGGCAAGACAATGTATATTAATTTATAAAACAAAGAGAAATTTGGAGATATCTGAGCTGTAATTTTTGCAGATATTTTTTTATTTTAGCATTTTTTTAAATGGAAAATAAATATTCAAAAATAGATTTTTTTATTTTTAGAAAATATTTATTTAATGTCTTTATAATTTCCAAGTGCTTTTCAGTGCACATCAGTTCAAATAATTATTTGATTTAATTATGAATATGTTTTGTTACTTTATGCATTTATTGCTAACAGTAAATTGTGTGTTCTACAATTACAATCTACAGTCCTGAATTTCCCCACTGTGGGACAATAAAGGCTATTTCTATTCTATTCTATTCTATTCTAATCTATTCTATTCTATTCTACAAAGGCTCTGAAAATCATTTTTGTGCTTTTAAGATTCACTTAAAGTTGTGCTCATGTAGATAAATGCTCCAAAAAATAAAATAAAATAAAACAAAATAAATCTGCACACCAAGAAAAGTCCTGAGGTTAAAATTTTTCTGTGCAAAGTTTTTAAAAGTCAACCTTATTAGTTAAATGAAGAAATCTTCAAATTTCTCAGCATGTTCCGTTCATTCATTCAAAAATATTTGGAATGAATATAAGCAGTTTGTGCAAAATGTCCCTAAATGCACCGCAGCAGAATAAGGACGTGTTGTCAGGAAATGCATTGTGGGGGTTTGTGTTTGTGTCCTGGTTTCAGATCTGCTCTGGTATCAGCTGAGGGTGATGTGGGACAGCGGTGTCTGTTTCTGGCCTCCCGCTGATCCAAACAGATCTCAGAAAGTGATTCTGTTGAAAAACTGCTGATCTGTGGAACACAAAGTTCACTTTGTCACACCATGAAGGTGTTATTTTCTGCTTCAAGGTGAAAGAAATATTCCAACAAAACTCATTATTTTAGTTCTATTTTTAGCTTTATTGTAAACTATAACCTACTAATTAATTTCCTTCTGAGATCAATAAAGCATTTTTGAATTGAATAGTTTATATTTACTGCTTATTTTCTATATATTATTGTTATAAATTTTACTTTTTATACACTTTGGTCATCTTGTGTTTTAAATGTGCAGCAGAAGTAAATTTTGACTTGTGAGTTGGGTTATAAAGATGTTTCTGCAGGTGTTTTATGTATTTGTGTTTTTGATCATGTAAAAGTCAGCAAATTTATCATCTAACCTTTATTAAAGTCACAAAACTCCTCACTCTTTTCCATTTTAGCTGGTTTCAACACATCGTAGACCAACTGTTCACTCGCTGACTGATTTTTTGTATCCTTCTCCACCAGGTACCATTAATACTTTATTTTATCTGTCAGTGGTCATGATGTTTTCTGTGACAGCTGCTGATTATTCTACAATATTGAATTTCAGGTGCCTAAAAATTTGAAGCCATCTTGGTCATGACTTTAGTTTCATCCATCCATCCAGGATAACCAACAGACTACTTGAAAAAGCTCTACTGCAGGTAAGATACAGATGACTCATAGTAACACCACCAACTTTGACATTAATGCAAATCAGTGGGAACTCTAGTGTTCATCTCTATTAATAAACTGTGACCATGAAAGGATTGTTTGAAAAAAGATTAATTTAAAGTAAAGGAACTGTTGAACGCACAGCAGCTCCAAACACTGGATTATTCTAGTAACTAGATCTTTGTGAACATTTGTACTGAAAATACTGCAGCCTAGGGTCACACCAAACAACAAACTGTGACCTTTTTATTCGGCTGCAACAAAAGATATTTTAGTTATCAGAAGAGGAGGTGATATGACCCAGCTGTGTCACAACTTTTAAACAAGACAAAGTTCTTAGTTTAACAGTAATTTATCCCCTATTTTTTTTATCTTTTGTCCTAAAATTAGCAATTTAATATGTTTTGTTCAGAGTGTCCCAAATTCCTGAGGGCTAAAGATACAAGAATTAACATTTATGCCCAAGATTTTTTTTTAATAAATTCATATTTATTTAAGAAATTTGCACAATTACAGAATAGTTGTGAACACTCATACAAGTAAACAGGTAGAAGTGTGTGTAGCCTGACACACTCATCTTAGACACACACTCACACACCCACCCACACACATATTCTTACGCACACACACACAGTGCACAGATGCTACCAACGGGCACCTCAGCAGCGTTTTTGCTCCCTTCAAGTGTAAATCAGATCAGATTTTATCCGTCCTTCCCATTTCACCGATTCGCAGCGCTTCAGTGACTCAGGCAAGCAAACAAAAAGAGGTGAAGTGTGAAATGTACACATAATGGTGCCGTGCTTCTGATTTAGTTGCAGACGAATGTTTGCAGCTGAGGTGAAATTTTACAGCTTTAGAGCTGAAAACAGCAAGAAAAAAAAAGAAGAAACAGCTGTTTTCAAACCCTGGATATGCCGTCATACATGGCTTAGAGTTTCTACAGAGGCATCTTTTTTGACTGAGCTTCCTTGTTTTGGACTTTAAAACAAGTTCACTCAAAACTTAAAACTTAAAAAATAATTTAAAAAAACTATACAAGACTTCATTTGATTTGATCACCAGGTGTGGCAAAGAAATTTGGCAGTTTTTAAAAAGAGGAAGTGGTAAAACTAACAAATAGGGCTCTGATTGTCTTCACGCAATTCTTTGCGAGGAAAGATCTCCAACCTTGAATTTTTTTATTTGAACAAAATAACTTTTTATTAAAGTCAGCTGGTATGAGAGAATCTGAAGGTTTCAGGGAGGAAGAATCGATGCAGATCGATGTGGAGACAGGAAGGCAAATGACAAGAAAGTGAAATTAAGTGAAAAAAAAATCACAAAACATCTTTGAAAGTCCTCAGAACTTTAGTTTGACCTCCCATGGTGCACCTATCTTCTGGTATTTGTCTCATGTGACTGGTTGGGAGACCACTTTCCCCCGCCCCTTCTGGTAGTGGGTTCAGTTTGTCAGAATTTACAGTACACAGTGTCGCTGTTGGCTGGTTTGGTCTAAAATGTGCTCCGTCAGAACTTATGAAACGTTGCAGAACCAGAGGAACCACAGAAACCCACGGGGCAGATTCAGACCTCCACCTGGCCCTGTGTCAGGAAGGCCCTGAGCTGCTGGGCCGCACTGACGATCTTCCGCTGATGTCCCAGCAGGTTCACCCCGAGGTTCTGCACATCCCTGAACGAGAGATCAGAGGAGAAAAATCTGCATTTTATAGAAAACAACATAAAAATACTTTGTCTGTGATTGCTTTTAAAGAACTCACTCCATGGTGAGTCTGCTGACTCGGTCTAACGAGTCCAGGTCCGCTCGCTCAAACTCGTCCTGATACCGCTCCATCTTCAGAGCTTTCAGCCAATCGCCGACTGTCGCCACAGACGACAGGTCCGTGGGGGTCGGACTGAGAAGTGGCTGCGAGCAGCTTCTGTAAATGTCACAAAAACAAGATTCATAAAATCCTGGTGATGAAACCAGGACCCGCCGCCCCGCCGTGCGTTTGTGGACGCAGCTCACCGAGTTGGCTCGGCCTTCAGGGAGGCGGGGTGCCTGATGAGCCGGTCCAGAGAGGACAGGACGGAGTCGAAGCCCGGCCGGTCCGCCCGTTCCGCCTGCCAGCACTGAAGCATCAGGGAGTGAAGTGCGGGGGGGCAGCTGTGGGGGGGCGGGAGCCGGTACTGATCCGCCACCGCCTTCATCACCTGCAGACACGCAGAGGAAGACATTCAGCAGAAGTAGGGCAGATGGTGGAGGAGGCTTGGAGCGGCTGGCTCTCAGAAAAGGTCACTGATCACTGAGCACTTGTAAAAGCAACCCGGGGAAAATTATGGAGATTTCAGCTGGTTGGCATTTGGTAAACTAATTAAATATTCAGGAGGAAGAAAAAAGGAGAAAGCTTTTATTCAAACACTGTATCAGCATCAGAGCTGAAGCAACCAGGTCTACAACCTTTATTCTGATCTATTATGAAATAAAACTCTAGATGTTTTTATTTTTATTTATAAAATATATAAGGAAAAATGTTTTAACTATCATAACTATTTATTAACTTTTTGAGTTTTACAGAAATCATGAAATAAAAAAACAGTAAAACGCAGTTTACAGTTTTGTTTTGTTTTGTTTTTTCATCACTTGCTCTCCCCAAAAGGCAATGATAGATGATATTTGATGAAACTCTCATAAAGTAATCATCAGATATAGATTTATAACAGATTATTTTTGGTGCCAGCCCCATTCAAGATGGCCGCCACAGCCAGCTGATCTTAGGAAACACCTAAATGACTCTAACTCAGTCAGTTTTACAGTTATGGAGCTAAATTTGGTGTGGTATAGTAAGTAAGTAAGTAAGTAAATTTTATTTATAAAGCACTTTTCTTGGAAATAACTTCACAAAGTACTGTACAATACAAAAATACATAATACAACAAAGTAATAAAAATATCATGGAGCCGTCCAGTATTTCCAACCCAAAAAAGGTGTAGTAGCTGAAAGTTTTTTACAACATATGAGAGCTAAAAGATTACTGGTACATAAGAGTTAGGGGTGCAACAATACATGTACCCGTATCAAACCGTATCGAACAATGCAGATCTTAAAAATTTTACTTTATCAACATGTCTTCTGAAGATGCTCTGTGTTAAAGGATCAGTGGATCTGTGTTCGACTCCACCTAGGCTGCATTTTTGAGCGCAGATCCACTGAGAAACTTGCTGTTTCAGCAACATTTAATTTAAAAACTGTACTTTTGAGGTTTAACTAATTAATATAAATAAATTACAAGTTAAAAGGGGCATGGAAATTTCTCTTTTTGTATCAAAAAAATATCGACCCGTGAGACTAAAGTATCAAACCGAACCGTGAATTTCCTGTATCGTTGCACCCCTAATAAGAGTGTGCATTACCTTAAATGGCTGTAAGTCTGCGGTTCATGAACAGTTTAAAACTCTGGCATCAAAGCTCCGTGTTCAACATTTCTAATCTTCGTACCCACCTCCTGGTTGCTCATGTCCCAGTAGGGGCGCTCTCCGTAGGACATCACCTCCCACATTAAGACACCGAAGCTCCAAACGTCACTCGCTGAGCTGAACTTGCGATGTTGAAAAGCTTCCGGTGCGGTCCACCTCACAGGAATCTTACTGCCCTGTTGGAGGATAAAAAACAGCAAACAGTTAAATTAGTGGTCAAATAAACTGAACTGAGAGGAAGCTCCAGGTTCCTGAACACACCAGAGAGGCTGTGTATGTTGGTATGTTCTGGTCCAGTCCCCTCATGAGTCTGGAGAGGCCAAAGTCAGACACTTTGCAGACCAGGTTGGAGTTGACCAACACGTTTCTGGCAGCCAGGTCTCTGTGGACAAAGTTCCTCTCAGCGAGGTAACGCATACCTGCTCCGACTCCCCTCAGCATCCCAACAAGCTGGAGGATGCTGAACTGACCTTCGTTCTCCTGCAAAAGAAGCAAAACAGAATATTTGAGCTGTGACCTGGAATTTCATGGCACCAACACCAACGTCTTATCAAAACAATAAAATAAAAACATGAGTTTTAATGTTTGTTCACCCTGAGGAAGCCATCGAGGGGTCCGTTCTCCATGAACTCAGTGATGATCCTCTCTGGGGGCGATCGGGTCACGACACCCTCCAGCTTCAGCACATTGGGATGATCGAACTGCCCCAAGACCCCCGCTTCACTGAGGAACATCCCCCTCTCCCTGTCAGACGCCCCCCAGCGCAGAGTCTTCACCGCCACCAGTACCTCCCTCCGGCCCGCCGGGCGGTAACGACCGCGGGACACCTCGCCGAACTGAGCTGCAGCGGAGAGGGAGAGAAACCAGTTTCCACCGGGGCTATGGTTTCAGACACGACCAGTGAGATCAAAGAGTTTCAGCTTTACCTGCTCCGATCACCTCCTCAATCTTCAGGTGGGAAGGATCGATCTCACGGGCGAATTCTTTCACCGCCTCGCTGGGGTCTTCGTACGTAGAAGGGTCCACGTAATACTTCACTCCTCCTGAAATTAAAACACTTAAAATTATTGTAACTTTTAGTTTCACCAATCAGTCACAGAGTTAGAAACATGAACATGAGTTTAGGATCTTTTAATGCATCTTTTTCTTTGTTGGAAAGATCATTTATGAAAATGTTTTACATATTTTTTCCCCAATTTTAATTTATCTTTAATTTGTTTTAGTTGGATCAATGTGCATTATTTCTGTAGTAATTATCTTTTTTTGTGTGTGTTTAAATTTGGTCCTTTCATCCAGCTTTTTTTATTAGTCTGCATACTTGGCATCAAATAAAACAAGCATCAAAATAATTGTCTTAAGTCATTGCTTTGTCCTTTTTAAAATTGTAAGTGTTGTTTTATGGCAGATATTCTATTTAATGTGTATAATAAATTCCTTGAACAATCTGTGTTTTAATTTATTAGCAATAAGCCCATTTCTATAATAATATACTTTAACTGAATTCCCTCACAACCCTTGGGCCACTTGCTTTGTAAAAATCATTTAATCAGTCTATAAAGAGGCAATTTCTTTCTTTTTAAGTCAAAATAAGGCTAAGATTTAAGTTATAAATTAAAGTTTAAGGTTTAAATAAATAGCTAAAACAACAGTTTCAATAAAATAAAAAAATCTGTGTTGCTTAAAGTAAAACCTAATAAAGTTAGAATAAATGAAACTCACCTCGGTTACTAATGTATCTCTGAAGTCTGTCACTGTAAGGACTTTCTCTCCTCTTGCTACCAGATGAAGGAAAAGTAGGAATCAATAAAAAGAGAATATTAAATAGTTGAACTAACAGATTCTTTGAAAGCTTACCTGCGGAACACAACCACGACCACGATGGCTGCCACCACGAGGAGAAACGCTGCGCCGCCCATCACCGAGCCGATGAGCAGAGGAAGTCGGTTCTGGATCTGCTGCGAGTGTTCCTCTGTGACAAAAATAACAAAAAGCAAAGAAAAAACTTACCAAGGAAAGGAGGTTTTAGATCTGTTTGTTGTAATTTCTTGTTCTTCTTCAACCACAGCTGTTTTAAAAACTCGTAAACTTCCCAGAATTTTAACTTTGAATTTCATGAACTTTCTTGAAACTGAGGGGAAGTGAGTTTACTTTTTAATGTGGGAGAAACCAAAACAACAAGCTGCTCTTGAGCCTTTAAACTGTGTTCAACACAATCTCCAGTGTGGATGAAAATTATTTGATGTTATTGATTCTCAGAATATTTTACATCTAGTGTGATCAAGGTATCATTTCTATATATGTGTTTTGACAGTTAAAAATGTTCCATTAAGGTCACTTTATCTGGCTCCTTCTCTTGTCTAGTCAGGTAAACTCGGGTCAGGATGCTTTGATCTCCAGCGTTTCCTGGAAGCTAATTGGCTCATGGTTCTTAATTTGCATGAATCACAGAGAATCAAGCCAATATTTACGCTTTGTGTTTCTCTTGGCTGCAACTTCCTCAAACTCTTAAACTCTGTTGAACTTGTGACCTGATTTTAGTAAATCACCACAAAATACATTTAACTTGTTTAATCTGGGGCTCAATCATGTTTTGTAAAAATCCACCTTATCAGTAGTTTTTGACCATAAAGGAGATTATGGTATAAAATGTGCTTTGCTCCTTGCTGTTTTTGAACAGCTGAATATTTCAGGAGCTCCACTTTTCATAATTCATAAGGTCAACTGGTGTCTTACATAAATGAAGTCATATTACATTTCTAAGTTGACTTATTTGCTCTGCTGCTGTGTACCTAAAGGCAGTGTGGTGAAGTAGATGGTGTTGCTGTAGGGCCCGTATCCTCGCTCGTTCCGGGCCCGGATCTGGAAGGCATAAATGGAGCCAGGGATCAGAGAGTTGACGGTCACTGTGTTGGTCTCACTGTACACACTGAAGGCGCTGTCCACATCTGAACCCTGTGGGAGGAGCATGAAGAGACTCTTATTTTTAATTTGTTCAGCTTTTCAGAACAATAGCAAAATGTTGTTTGTTGGCACGTGCCTTGTCGTAGTATCTGAGCTGGTACTCCAGGATGTCTCCGTTGGGTCGGTCCGGCTGGGGCCACGAGAGCGTGATGGAGTCTGGGGCTCGGCTCAGCTGGTGCATCACAGGAACAGTACTGGGGACTGAAACCAGAGGCGGAGGATTCTTAATATTGTATTCATGATTGGTAATAAAGTAAAAGTCTGATTTACTAAAAAAGAGCTTTTTAAAACTGTTTTAAGACATTAAAAAACAAGTTCTAAAATCATAAAACAACCCAAGGTTTAGTGTTCTATACGGAAAACATCAACAACAACACAATCCCCTCCCCTAAACCTTGATTCTGGTATAGAACTGAACTATGTGCCTGGAAATCACATAATACCCCCTTTAAATGCAGGAATAAGGCCTCATTGAAGGATGTGTCAGGCGGCGCACTTTGAAGCGCAAGTCCTTCTTTGAGGGGTAATGTGAATCAGACAGACACAAAACCTGGAACTGGACTGAATTGATTTGAATTGTTGTTTTTTAATAAGATGACTTGAAGTAGACTGTAATTACTGAGAGGGAACAGGATTAAACTGGATTTCTAACTATTTAAGAATAAAGTAGCACTGAGGTAATAGTAACCACATGGGGGCAGTATGATAGAAACTGTAGGTTCATTAAAGACTAAAAGTGGAGTTTTTATGGAGCCAAGCAGGATCTAATTACAGCCGGTGTTTTGGCAGGAAGGTCCAGTTACAGCGAGAATTCTTTCCATTTAATCGATACTCCAGGAGCACACACGAGAAGATTTGAGATCATTTAGATAAATTGAGGTTCTACTTAATTGTAATGGGTTTCTTGGAAAGCTGTATAACGATGCACCCTGTCTGCACAATTCCCCCCTTTTTTCTTTCTTCTTCCTGCTCATTGGCTTTGATCTCTTTGTCTGTCTGTCCATCTCTTTGTCTCCCCGTCTCTCATTCATCCCCTTTTTCTCTCTGCACAGTGAACATAATGAGATCTGACAGGATACTGGAACCTCCAGCAACCTCATGTCCAGATAGCGGGAACAGAGAAGATGAAGAGGAGATGGGGGGGGGGGGGGCACATCCCCTTCACACAGACCCACACATCATCATCATCATCATCATCACCACCACCACAGCATCTCATCTACTTTCATCTCATCTTTTTCATCCTGTCTGTCCCGTTCTCACCTGACTGGCTGGTGGTGAAATTGATGCTGGTGTATCGAGCTGGAAAAGGACTCAGAGCCGACACCTCGTTCATGGCTTGCACCTGTCAATATGGGAACATGTGACATTCAGAGTTTGCACTGACATTTATGACATGCGTGAAAAACAACATAAAAAAACGAAGCTTATCCACCGAGTCGATTCAACTCGTAGTAGTAAATGAGAACTGTCTGCCTGTTATGAATAAGAAATAAGGCTTGATTTTAACTGTGCTATGCAGAGTTAAATAATAAATGTGTGTTTTTGATGATGTGGTACTTCTGCAATAATACTGCACAGAAGTTTTGCCACTTTTCTTTGTGAATGATAAAAATGTCACGACAGTCACAGTTCTGCTCTTTAGAAGGAAGTTCAAATTAGTAATTTCTGCAATAATTTCTGCAAATACAACACCAATAAGATTATAGATCAGGGATGGGCAACTGGTGGTCAGTGGGCCAGATGACTTCCGTTTGGTCAGGAAATGAGACCCCAACACTAGAGACGGGATAAATGGCTCTTTGAAGGGATCTGGATCTTGGGGAGCTGTTTGTTTCATAGAGCCGTTCAAAAGAACTGTTCGATTTTGAACGTATTACGTCATCACGTTGGGAAATACGTCATCACGTAGGGAAATACGTCATCACGTAGCCGTACGTAATGACGTCATCCCGTCATGTGGGTGGAACCATGTGTTTGTCAAGCGGAAATCCCCCTCCTCCTTTCACCGTGAGTTTCTGTACTCCACTGCTCTGCCTGTTTTCTGTGAAAAAGCAAAGCGGGAGCGATAATGAAAAAATAAAGATTATATGAGGAATAAAAGAAATAAAACTACAAATGTCTCGTTACTGCCCGCGACTCGGCTCCTATTGTTCATTGTAAAGAGCTGTTCAAAAGATTAGGATTGTTCGCGAACGTCAAATCTCTACCCAAAACACACACACACACACACACACACACACACACACACACACACACACACACACACACACAAATACAATAAAAATTCCAGTTTGTTTCAGGTGAATGCTTTAAGCATTCAAAGCAGCTCTTAGATACATTTTGAAAATTACAAAAATGAGTGTCTGAGTGGCACCGAATTGGTTGTAACAACAAAGTTTGCCACTAGATGGCACCTCCACACAGATGCCACCTGCGCTCATGTCCTCTCTACCAGGGAAGAAGAGACGTTTAGCCAAGGCAAAGAATGGTGGAAAGATACAACCGGATGGATAAAATCATGTTCTATTTCGTGTAAGCTCCGCCCTCTAAGGCTATCGCAGATGGGTACCCCCGTGCGCGTACGCGCA